AGTCATGTCCTTCCGCAGAAAGGGTGAAATAGTCCGTCGGTGCCCGGTCTGGAAGCACGTGACCTGAAGGGGGCGGATGGGGGGTGGAGAGGGAAATAGGGAGGAGCTGGGGAGACGGCTGTCAGGCTTCGTTTCAGCTGTCCCCACCCCCACATCCTGCCCACCCTCCTGCAGCTGCCACCACATCCTGCCCAGCCACCGGGGGCAGAGAACTAGTGTGTGTGGGGGGGCACTGACCGAGGACCTCGCTTTGGTACCCCTCTCCCTGCCCCCTTCAGTTCCAGGGTGGGGCCTTTGCCCTTTGCTCCGGGCATGGCCCCAGGCACGGCCCCAGGCACACTGGCGCTGAGCTTGGGGCACAGCTCTGCCAGCACAGCCTTGGACACCTCTCTGCTTGATTCTGCCACCTGGCCTCCCTCTGTCCCAGAGTGGGGCTTGTCTAGAATCAGAGCCCCATTTCTGGGCCAGTACAGCTAGCAATGGACCGAAAGAGGTATTCAGTGAAGTTTCATAATCCTAACTCAGGCACAAGCCCTATTCACATATATATAGATTTATGTTACAGACAGTCGTTGAGAGTATTCCATGTCAGACCCTGAAGACCCAAATTTGAGTTAAACTGCCGCCCTCAAGGAGTTCATTATCTCCAGATAAGTAAATGGGGAACCAAAAATGTCAGAACAATATAGTGTGCACTGGTTAGGTAGATACACAGAGTAAGGAGGCTATACACAAGCAGAGGCTCAGGATGACACAGTTCCACAGATAATGTATGCACAGAAACAACCAGTACATATACTTCCATCACAAGGAAGGTGGGGGATGTAGGGAAAGATGGGGGCCTCTGTTGGGATCTCTAGAAAACAGAAGAATCATCAGCTCAGTGAAGCAATGAGCTGGATAGAGGTGAGCGATTGGAGTTTGTCTAAACAACTGTGTTAGGGTGAGAGGAGTCAACCAAGCAGCCAGAGACTGGAACAGTAGTAATGACTACCCAAAGTTTGAAACAACGGGCAGGGAGAGAAGCAGCCCTTAGGGATGAGGAAGATCTTTCCAAATTAAGTAAGACTAGGATGCCTGGGAAGGTGTGAATCAAAGGAGCTGTTGATGTCCTTTGACATAGAACTTACGAAGATGATACTGTAAAGGAGTTAACACACATGTTTTAGGACTTTGGTGGGCATTTGACACCTAGGGAATTTTATAGCAACTTTGGACTGTTAGATGACCTTTCTCTGGGAAAAATGGGATAGTGTCAGGGGGGGAGAAGAAAAAATAAGACCCAGGCTGCTAGGCCTGCTTAGGCATTTTCTACCTAGGGGATCTGGACGGGTGGTCTAGGGGTTAGAATAAAAAGATGTGAGTCACATTCAGAAAGTATTTATTAGAATCCAATGTCTAGCAACATTACTTCTCATATCCTTATCATCAGAGGTAATCAAGACCTCATGTTTGTTACTTTTCCATGTCATTTTCCTGTGAAGTTCCCCCAGCCCCAACCCTCAGTATATGTGTGTGTATTCTATCTCTTTTGTAATGTCAACCTCTCCTACTCTCTCCTATTGTGTTCTCTAGTGAATTATCATTTCAGCATCTCTGGGTCCAGGACTCTCTACCTTCCCCATTAAGCTCTTCTCTCCCTTCTTTTTTCCCTCCTGCTCCTAGCCCTTTAACACCCTCCCAGGTGACTCACCTTCCTTCCTCATTCCTTTGTTAAGGACCCAACATTCCAAGTCAGGAAGGACCAGCCAGCCAATCACAGCCCTAGCAGGCCTACCCCCAGCTTGAGATTGGTTGGAGCTGTGGTTGGCGGGAGGCTTACCAAGCTGATATTACAGGAGGTTGGGGAGGGGGTTTCTGAGAGTCAGCCCTAGGAAAGAATTTGTTCTAGGGATGCTTATGTTTTTGAGAAATCCCTCAAGTAGAGCTGGGGCCAGAGGAGTCTCTTACATAGAGAGCTTCAAAACTAGAGGCAGGCCGAGTACCCAGCTCTCCATCTCTTGGGGGCTCAGCTACCCTCTGCCCACTCTGATTTTTTCTGTGATCTGGGGCCTAATGGTTTGAAGGCTGAGTTCCCAGGCCTGTTCCTAAGAAGTCTTTTCCAGCAGCCCTGGATCTCTCCAGTCTCAACATTCTGCTTTCCCGACGTCGGAAACAGCCAGAAAATAAACACCCTGATGACTAAACGGTTTCTCCAGCTAGAGCCTGGGGAAGCACTAAAAATAGAGGCCACAAGTGAGGGGAGGTTCCCCACTTGAGGGAGGGGGGGCACTTTCCCATCCTGGTACTGCCATAGTCCCAGGCCTGGCACAAGGCTCTGTTCTTCTCAGAGTCCTTGGGGACAGGGCAGATGGGCTCCCTCTGTCTACACTGACGTCCTTTGGGCAAGCTAGCCTTGCCTGGCAGGGGAAACTGACATGTTCTGGTGCTGGCACCCCCTCTTTCAGATCAGGTGGGGAATTGAAAAGCTACATTTGGGGACAAAGTGGGACACTTTAAATTGGGTTTCCTGTAGGAGGGGTCAGGTGGACAGGTTGGAAACTGAGGCCAAGGAAGTAGGAGCCTGCTAGCCTCAGGTCTTAGGACATCCAAGATAAGCCTCTAAACTATTTGCAGAGCAATGCTGCTGAAATTACTTCCTTTGAGGCTTGTATAGGATAGTGGGCCTACAGGGATCTTTTCATTCTGGCCCTTGAGCTATTATAATGCAGTGCAAGACACTGTTTTAGCAATCTACTTGTATGAACTAATTTAATCTTCACCCCAAATTTATGAGTTAGCTACTATCATCACCATCTCTGTTTTTTCCCACGAGTATCATGAAGTGCAGGGGAGTTAATGAATGTGCCTGAAATCACAGTTGATAAGTGGTGGAATGAGGATTTGAACCAAGGCAGCTTGACCACTCCAAAGTTGATGCTTCTTATCACCATGACATGCTGCCTTTCTCTGTATATATATATCAGTCTCTACAGCAGTTCACCCAAAATCCAGTCTCTGTGCAGTAAATCAGACCCAGACAGAAATCACAGTGTGTGAAGAACTGAGTGCCCTTCTGTTCTGCAAAGTTCTTTGTGATCTAAGTCAGATCCCATCATTTCCTCGAGCTCTAGGTAAGGTAGAAAGCAGCAGGACTTGGAGGTAATAGCGACTTTGGAGAGGAAGCCTGATGGGGCAGTTGTCCAGTAGGCATGGCACCCACACTCCTGTTGTAGGGCACAGAAAGATTCACCACACCCTGGGGCAACCAGGAATTTCTAATTTTTATTATAAATGTTTAAAGAGCTACTACTACTTTTTTTAATAGGATGCTTTTGGGCGTTTCCTGTGCTGGGGGAAATTAGGATCCCGCCCCTTTAAATTGCCCCCCTCAGCCGTAAATGCTCTGGGGCCCACGGGCACTAGGGATTAGGTCACCCAAGAACTATGAGCTGTCGCTTTAAATTGCCGGGCGGCTGCCGAACCGGGCCCTAAGAGGGGGACTGTCACAGGTAGAGGAAGCAAACGAGCTCCCCAGGTAACCGCCCCCCAGGACTTGCCCCTTTAAGTGGAGCCACGACACGCTTCTCGACGTGGGGGAGATGGACTCTCCAGCCGGTTAGCGGCTACCCTTAGTTCACCTACTTGGGCGCCCACCTCCCAAGTCCCCTGGGGCTCAGGGCGCGGGGACAGCTGTCGCGGTGGCCCGAGTGTAGGAGAGCGGGCGCGCGGCCCGCGGGGCCTCCCGGAAAAGGCCTCCTCGAGCGCATGGTGGCCGCGGCCGCAGCCGCAGCCGTCCGGCGAGCTCGCAGAGGGCACCGCCGGCGCGGGCCGCTCCCCTTACAGGCCTCTGGCTCTCGCCACCCTACTTTGCCTCGCTCAGTCCCTTCCTCCCTCCCTCCCGGCTGGCGGAGGGATCCGCGGTTCCCGGCGCTGCAGCCTAGCTTGGAGGGGCGGTGGGGTGGGGGCCGGCCCGGCCCGGCCCGGCCCGGCCCGGACGGCCCGAGGGAAGCGAGGGGCGGGGCCGCATCCCCGGTACCGCCCCTGCCTCGGCCCCGCCCCTCCGCCCCCACGGGTTCCTCCCATTGGCCCCCCGCCTGTCCGTCAGCCCCCGTTTCCCCCACCCCTCAAGCTAGGCTGAGCTGTGCCTACGTCGGCCTCGACTCCCGGGGGCTGGAGGAGTTACCTTTGGAGCCCGAAAGGAGGAAGGAAGCAAAATATCAACAACAGCCGAGGTGGCTCGGGCACTCGGCCCCGGTCTCTCGCCTGCCCGCTGCCCGCCTGCCTACCTCCGCGCCCGGGACGGGGGCCCAGGCCCCCAGGCGCCGCCCAGGGCCCGCGCGGACGCCGGCCTCATTTATTATTCCCCGCGCCGGGAGCTGCGGCTTCCCGGTGTTGAAGATCTCCCGGAGTAGGGGCGAGGGCTCCCCCTCCCAGTCGTGACATCCCCCCTTTCCCCAGCGTGGCCGGTGAGTAGAGAAAAATAAAGCGCCTGCCGCTTTAAGAGGCCCCCTCCCCCACCCCGTCCTGGGTTGGGGTGGAGGGTGGTCTAGACCGTCCCCCTGAGGGGTGGGATGGGGTGGCCTCCTGGCTGGGAGGAACTCGCGGAGCGGGCTGTTTTCGCGTGGCGCTGGTGGGAGGTTGCATGGGGGACTGTTTGTGTTAGGGAGTGTGCTGTGGGGGCAAGTGGAGTGGGCTGTAATTCTCTAGGGTGTTGGGGTCAGGGTGGGGACCGCGGCTTGGGGACGCGCCCGATTGTTGGTGTCCAGGGGTTACGGCAGCCTCCGAGTGATCTGGGAAGGGGCGCCATCCTCAGAGGGGGTCTCCGGTGACAGCCGGGAGCGACTGACATTTTAACAGCCGGCCCTCCCTCCCTCTCCCTCCTCGCGCCGCCTGTTCCCTCCTCCTTGGCCCGAAATGGTGCAGAAGGGGGCCTGGGAGGGCGGCGGGAGGGTGGGGAGCCGCAGCTGTTTGGGAAGCGGGGGAGGGAGGGGGGATGTTGTTCAGATGACACCGGGGTGGTGGGTTGGGGTGTGTGAGTGTGTGTATGTCCGGGGCCCGGGTTTGCCGGGTGCCTGTGGAGTTGGGACGTGGAGTCACCACGGAGGTGGGCACCCAGGACCCTCCCTTGGGACCTCCTAACCCGCTTCCAAGTCCCCTGAACTGGTTCGTCAGCAGCTCCAACTGGAGAACCCCTGGCCAGAAGTTTGCAGCTGTTCAACATCTGGGCAAGAGCTCACCAATTCCTCTCTCCACCTATGCAGGCTGAACTGGGTTAGCAGTGGGGGGTCTAGGGAGTGTGTGGGGTCAGCGGGCTTGGAGGAGAAAGAACCGAAGACACTTAAGATGCGTTCTTTTGCCCCAGTGCCAGTCCCTTTCCTGTCAGGTTTGGGTCTTAAAGAGATGGAGAAAGGGGTTGCCAACCTCTAGTGATTCAAGCTGATGCCTCTTGAGCTCTGTCCCCCAAGAAAGGAGGTCTCCTGGATATGGGCACTCCTGGAGCCAACAACTAGGTTATCTCAGGTTTGTCTTTCTCAGTGGGAGGCTTTCTGCCTCCCTTTTAGCGGTGTATTGTTGGTGGTTGGGGGAGGGCTTTGTCCCCCTTCTCTGTGCCCAGGCAAGGTCTGGTTTCTTTGGTTTGGGGAGAGGGTGGCAGGGGGGCCCTCCCCCAACCCCCCCCTCCATGGGTCTCCTGTGCAATTCAGGGGCCATCCCAGACTATGGGAAGTTTGCCGTCTGGGGCAGTGACCTTGGGCTGCTCTGGCCTGGAGATAGGGGAGCCCTGGCGAGTAGGAGATTGGGTGTTTTGAAGTTAGGAAGCTGTCCACCTCCCCCTCCCCTCCAAACCCCCATCAGGGGAAGTCTTACTAGCCAAAGGAGAACACAGAAAAAGGCACATGTCAGTGTTCACAGATGTCCACCCGCCTGTGGCTGCCGGGTCACACCCGCCCCAGGACTTAGCCTGGCTGTCCCAGCTCCCACGGCCTGCCTGGGAATGAATTTCCTTCCTGTGGTTTCCCAGTGTGTTGGGCAGGAGATGGGGGTGGGGTGGGATCTGTGTGAGGGGTGGTTGAAGACCCGTTTGTGTGGGGTGGTTAGGGGGGTACCCAGGATCTTATATGTAGCTCTTTCCCTACTGGTCCCAGCACAGTCATTTGGATCCGACTATATTCTCTTTGTTGTAACTCCCTTCCCCCCAGGACACAACCCATGTATGTATATGTGAGCATGTACATGCACAGTTGTAAGGGGAGGTCCTCTGATTTCTCTGGGGAAAGAAGGATCTTTTATACACTCCTTCAGAGACAGAGAGGTTGAGCTTTTTACCTGAAAGCACACAGCAAATCTGTCTCTGAGCTTCAGTCCAACTGCTGCTCTTTCAGGCAAAGTTTTATAGTTTAGTAGGGAAAGACCATGGCAAGGAAGACACATTCTTCGCTGTTGGAGGCACTGGTTCTGGGGGAGAGGCAGGATCCAGACAGAGACCATCACAACTCAGTGTTGGGGGATGGGCATGGGAGGTTGGGCTAGAACAGCTGTCTCCTGTATCCAATGCCCGGAACAGAATGGTGGAGGACTGGAAGAATGGTGGGTGCTGCCCATTGTCCACCCCACTCTACCTGCTGGCCCTGGGCTGGAAGTGCCTGGGCTTCCTCCGTCTGCCTGCGTTGGCTCCTACCTCTTTCATAGGCTGGGAGATATGATAGTCTTTCTGGCTGTTGTTATATAATCTCTCTCCAGCAGGTTTTTTGTGTTTTTTTTTTAAATCTTCCCTGGGTCTTTCCTGGGAGGTGTGATGGGGAGAGGGTAGAAAGTAGACTGGGCGGTGGGGGTGGGGGGTGCTGGAGAACCAGTAGCAAGGATGCTGCAGTGTGACGCCTTGGCCTCTGAGGGGGGTGGGGGAGAGATGACTTTGGAGCTGACCCTCAGTTGTCACAGAGCTCCTCCCACCTTCCTCCTGTGACCCTACCTGGGAAGGTCTCTATTGTGGGCGGCTCTGTCCCTCAGGGTCCCAGAGAAGCCTGGCCCTCTGCTTATCCTGTCATCTTCCTGCTGTCTGGGGCCCCTGCCTCCCTGGCTGGCACTGGATCTGGAAGCTCAGTGCTTTCCCCTGGCCTGGTGTGGGTGGGCCCTGTATTGAATACTCTGCCACCCACTTCTGTACCTCTGTGAGGGTAAAGGGAGGCAGGGACGAATGGGTGGCACCAGCGTTTCCCTATTTGTAGTTGGAGCCAGGCGTCCCCCTTCCCTTCCCCTTTCATCCAGAGGGCGGTGGCCTCCCTGGAGAAGAGGAGTTGGTGGAGGGTGGTAGCAGAGGCCTTGACCCTCTTGGACACGGTCTAGTTGATGTTCACCTGTGTTAAAGAAGTGGGAACGAGGATCAGATGTGGGCCTGCCACCCATTCTTGAGGGTTATATTTTGGTTCTTGTGACTCTGGTGGCCGGTTCCCCCATCCCTGGAGACCATGACTGGGACTCTCCAGGTTCTCTGAAGCCAACTGGTTTGAGGTAATTATCTCCCTTTTACAGGGAAGGAGGATGGTGGAGGGACAGGAATAGCCTCAGCATCACTGTAATCGCTGGTGGCTTTTATGAGCCAGTCATGGGGCCTGATTCCTGCTAACCGTCTGTCCTTCTGTCCCAGATTGGTGACTTACTTGTGGGGGAGGGGGTAGTATTAGGTGCTAGTGGCTCTGTTTTGGAAGTTGGACACCTTGCTGTGCTGTGGTTGATGTAGCCCTGTCTGTCCACCATTACAGCAGACAGGAGAGGGCTTAGACTTCAGGAAGAACTTCCCAGTGGAGCTAGATGGGGGAGAGAGAGATGGCTCTGATTTGGCCTGGGGTAGGAGGCGATCTCAAAGCACTTTCTTCAGTGGCTCTCAGTGGCTCTGCTGAAAGGCTTTGAACTTTGGCCTAGTGGGGATAGTGCTGTTTGGCTCCTGGAATATTTATTTTCTCTTCTTTCCCCCTGCCAGGGGCTGAAAGTATTCTGAGAGGAGTTTGTCCTGGAGCTGTGAGAGGCCTATATTTCTCCCCACTCCCTTTGCCCTCTGCAGGGGGGCTCTGGCAGGTCCTGCATGTAGTGGCGCACGTGCATGAGGATGTGCAGCACATGCACATAGGTGTGGAGACGCCCACAGAGCAGCTGCTGCCCTGTGGGGTGGGGGGGGGCGGTGAGGGGTAGCAACTGGTAAAGATGATTAAAGGATTGGAGACGGGATGGGGTGGGGACTAGAGGCAAGAAAGAGAAGGGCATTCTAGAACTCTGAAGAGAGAAGGGTTGATTGGAGCAGGAGGGATCAGGGTTAGACCACAGATGGGTAGGCCTGGAGCATGGCTATGAGCTGATGAGTCCTGGCTGACTTCTATCACTGCCGCCACCCCCCACCGCCCCCCCACACCCTTGCGGGCCCCGGCTTAGCCCCCCTCTGTCTCTCATGCTGTGTCTTTAGGTAAGTCAGCTTTCCAGATGTGTAGCAGTTTCACCTAGCCTTTCGGTAATCAGAGCACCTGGGCGTTTTGGTGGTTTGTCTGTGGTCTCTGTTGCCTTCCCACTCACCCCGATGACCAAGGCTAATCTGAGGTATCAGTGTTGCATCTGAACCCTTGAGCATTTTCAGACAGCTCCTTGCCTGGGGATCCCCAAAGCCCTTTGTGTCAGACTTTTTCCTTTTCCTAAGGCTGTGGCCACCACCTCCCCTTCCTGGGAGCCTTGGCAGGGGCTGGCTGGCATGAAGCCTGGGGGATGTCAGGGAAATACATTCACTGATTCTACCCAGGACCCTGATAGCCTTTGGGAGTTGGCGGGGCAGGGGCGTGGGTTGTGGGGGAGACCGTTGGTGCCTCTGTCTGAGCTCTCTCCCTTGTGTTGCAGGCTGGGAGAGGAGGGAGCTGTGGCCTATTGCTGGCCACACCCAGGCGGGACCATATTTACTCATTTAAACTCACCCTCCCAGGAGGCTCTGGGCTCTGGGCCTGGTCACTGACCTTGGCTGGGCGCTCTGGCCGCTCCCCTGGGAGTTGGGCAGGTCAGGAAAGAATATAGAGAAGGAGCTTTTTTTTTTTTTTTTTTTTTTTACCCCAATCAAGAGAGCTTTATCCTCGGGTAATACCCCATTACTCACCCTATTTTCCAATATGAGAGACCAAATATTAAAACTTTTGAGATCCCTGGAGATGGGAGAAAGGAAACTTCCATTTGTTATGTCCCTGTGTGCCAAGCTCTGTGCTGTACATGGTCACGTATGAAGATTCCCTTACTTCTCTCCACAACTATTTATCATATTTGTGGAAACTAAGTCAGAGATTTAAGTGAATTGCCCCTGCTTTCCCAGTTGTTAAGGGCTTTTTATTTGAGGTTAAGGGAAGGATCTGGCCCGGCAGGAGGGACACTAGAGAAGGAGGAAAATGTGTTGAAGGGAAGAGCAACCCAGTAGGATTCCCTGGCACAGGGCAGGGGATTAGTGTTTGGTGGCATGTTAAGAGGAGAGCTTGCTTTGGTTTCCTGAGAAGGTGTTATCTTCTAATTGAGTGCCGTGGGGGAAAGCCCCCAAAACAGAGGTATGAAGGCAAGGACAAATGACACACCTCCTGGGCACCCTTTCAGACCCCTTTGAGCTGCCACATGAGATGGTTGAAGAGAGACTAGAGCAGGAAGACTTGAGCCACGGGAGCCCTGGGCATCTCTGAAGGCAAGAGGCTTCAGGCTCAGAAGTTAGGGAATCTGGAAGGGAAGGTGTAGCATCTCCAGGGGGAGGGAGAGCCCGCCTGCTCTCACACCTGGATGCGCCCGGAAGGCTGTGCTCAGCAGACTTCTCACCTCTGCCACTTATTCCTGGTGACCTTGGGCAAGTACCTGCCCATCTTTTATTTGGTGTCTGTCTCTAAAAGAGAGATGCCTCACCTGGGAAAGGAAGGACATTGAGTGGGAAAAGGTGCGGAACTCTGCACACGGAGGATGTCTTTCTTCCAGACATCAGCTCTAGTCCGACCCAGAACTTGACCCATTCCTGGTGGTGGGGTGGGTAGGCCATGTCCCTGATAGGGACTTGGGGTATGTTGGGGGGACTGAAGCAGCCCTGAGGGGATGTCCAGGGTTAGGACTCAGTGACCCCAGGATGGACTTAGGAGGCTGAGCCCAGCCCTGCCTTCCCTGTCCAGCTGCCTCCTTGTCTGAGAACCTACCCCCTCTACACCTTGCCCCAAGCATCTTACCAAATCCTCTGACTACCCACCCGCACCCAGCCAGCAAATACTTGGGGTTGGGAGAACAAGAAATAAATAAGAAAGAGCTCATCCTCAAACCTCAAGGGAAAACATATAGTGTGAGTGGGTGTGGGTAGAGAGAGAAGGGGTTGGTCTCTTTTCATGGCATCTTTCCACTCCAGTCGAATCAAGTAATGTGGAGGCCAGTGGATGGAACAGACGACCCAGGACCCCAGTTATTCCCTTTAAAGCACGTGTGTGTTATGTGTTTGGTAAGGAATAGTGGGTGGGGATAGGTCAGGAGAAGGACTGATT